CTGAAATGAGATGTATATGTGTATACGCGCCTTGGGACGCTCGAGCCTTTGTTCCTTATCTGCTGAACTCTTCTCTGAAAGGAATTATGAAGCGGAAAAGCGCAGCGGCAGTGGTTTAGACGCACAGACAAGAGGTCATGTGATCGATTCCTTGGCGGGTTTTCTCTTTTGCAGCTTTCTTCAGCTTCAGAGCTAGATCCTTATCAATCGCGGCGTCTTGCATCCTCTCGCGTGCGATGGGCTCTCGCGTATGCCTCTCCTCGCAGCGCAGCGCCTCTTTACTGTATCACGGACGACCTCTCGAGGGAACCAGTATTTTCTTAGATGTTTTTGCTTTTCGTCACTAAATTTCCTCGTTCAGGGGCGGAAGTGATGTAGTGGCAAGTGGCACGCGACGTGAGTCGCCCGGGCCAACCAAGCCTTCCATCCCTCCGGGGTCGGTTAATTGGTACCAGACTTGTCTGGGAGGATAAAAACACTGACTTGTACATCGGCTGGCCCCCGCAAGTCATTGTATAGGCCACTACGAATGTACAAATGGAAGTAGAATGCGTGCCGCATCCCAAAAAGGGATTGATCAACGGCAAATGCTTTATCCTTTTATTAACATTCCTCGTTGCAGTTCTTGTCTAACTGTCGAAGAAAATACACATTAATTGAAACTGACCCGTGCCTCCAAGTTCAGCGCTAAGCCCTGTAAAATTCACCTTTTCGTCAAGTAGCTGATATATTTCGTTGGTTGCAGGTAGAGGGTTGTATAAAAAGCTCCAGATCTGAACGAAATAACAAAAGTTTGCTGAAGGTGCTTCAGTGAGGTGAACTTACTTCTGCGGTAGAGGGTGTCGTTTCGCAATTTCTTCACTACTGAGAATGTGGACGTTGTCCATTACAGAAATCCAAGATGGGATTGGATCTTGACTGAAACGGTAGCCGGACATCTCCTGAACTGAAGAGTTACATGTAAACTGCGTTATTACAGTTTCACTTCATTGCATATTTCTCCGAAGATAAAGCTGTTCCATTTATATATTAGTGTGTCATAAATAGTGTCGCTTTTTTCAAACTATACCCATGCTTTTACAACTCGTTATATACTTTCGAAAGAGAATTGTCTGCTCTACAAGATGCTATGTTCTTCTTCCACCCTGTTCCAGGTTTTCAAATTTTAGGCCTGCGAAATGGGAGGTCCAGCCGACAAAAATTGACCAAACCGACAACTAGCTCTAACTTTATTATCCTCAGGAGAAATCAATCAATGATTTTCTTCTACTAACCACCTCTTTTGAACCCCTTACACCTCTTCTGAACATTCCACTATTAGGTTTCCCAACAAGTCGCGTCGTTCCTTTTCCAGACCTGGTTTTTCAACCAGAACTCGACGGTCGAGCACCATTACCTGAGATCTAGGTCGAAATTTTTTTATAGCCGAGACATTGAAAAACTAGTAGAATTTCAAGAACAAGTCATGACTAAGTTAGGAATGTACGCCTGGTTGATTTTCTCATCTTCTCAGGGATAATTTTTTTCAAAGAAATGCGGTCACTTTCGTGGACAAAACACCTTACTAACCTAAAATTCGAACTAATTCCCAACAAACATAAAAACAAAACAAATGAGCGAATAGAGCAGAAGAAGTGCTCACAAAAGAACATAAAAAACAATGCGTTTCAGAGGAAGAATTTCAATTTGAAAATTGCTATGGCTTATCGGTCGGCCAATTCGAAAAGAAACAGGGCAAACCTTTTTCGGCAACCTAAGGGTGGAATGTTCAGAAGAGGTCATGAGTAAGTAGAGGGTACATCATTGATTTCTCCCAAGGGAAAATAAAGTTAGAGCTAGTTGTCGGTTTGGTCAATTTTTGTCGGCTGGACCTCCCATTTCGCAGGCCTAAAATTTGAAAACCCTGGAACAGGTGGAAGAGGAACATAGCATCTTGTAGAGCAGACAATTCTCTTTCGAATGGTATATGAATGATGTAAAAGCATGGGATTTAGATGAAAATTTTTTGGTTGAAAAAAAGCGACACTACTTATGAGACAACCTAATACATATAACGCATATGTTCCACGCCGATTCAATGATGATCACGATATCAAGCATGATTATGTTTGTTGCATTAGAGGCGGTGTTTAAAAGAAAGAGACAGCCGTCAAAAGCCAGGTAGAGGTGGTTAGTGAGGCAGATTAGAGAAAAAAAAACAAGAAAAGTGGCTTAAAACCCTAGGAGGGGACACCCCCCCCCGGAAGTTCTCTCACAGCTAGGCTAGCTTCATTGGTACTGACTTCATCGACGCTAACGCTCCCTCTGCTGAAGAGCTAATTAGAATCGGATAGCGGCGCGAGTGGCGCGGGTATGGCTCTGCTAAGCCTCTGGGCATACGTGCACTGCGTAAGGGGTATCGTCCCATTTCTTTAGGGGAGCGGTCTGCCGTTCGACTAGCTATATTTCTTCATCCCTGCCTCCGACGTTATCGTGAAGTCCTCCTTAGGCTGGAGCTTCAAACGAAACTCTCATCAAACACGCAATCCTGAACAGTGGAAGGAAAGGTGATCCAGACAATTTAAAAGCGGAGGGTAAAGTGCCTGTGATGGGATCTATCAAGAAACTTCTTTTAGATCACGAACGGCGAAATAAGTACTTCGAGCAGTTTCTATAATTTCGTTGGTTTACTCATTTTCAGACGTGAAGCCAAACAATTAAACTACTGGAGGGTTGAAGCCAAGCCCCGGGAGGAAGCTAGTGTACAAGAGCACTCCGTAGTGATGACTAAGCTGCAGAGTGAACTAAAGGTGGAAGGGAAAGCAAGAGAGGTCATCGAAGACGCTAAAATTGAGGCCTTAATCTTCATTGAGGTCGAATGCGACATGGTTATCAAAGAACACGCGAGTAAGAGCAAGAGCTTCGAAAGAGCACGCTAATCTCTACATCAATGGCGGTGGGTGGGGAGCGTTACAGCAGGGGTCGATGGTTGCAGGCCCGTAAGTTTAGCATCCTAGTGGCACTTTGTGCAATGCAGCTGGCATGACCCCACGATTTTCTTCGTTTACCCTTCCAACTATACTAGTTGGGCTATTCCTGGGGCTCACCTTTGAACCAACTCAAAATGAGTATAAAAGTTTTCGGCCGCACATATCTTCCCAACATTTATGAAGGGAATACAGCCTCTATTTTGAGCCAATCCGGGAAATGAGGAAGGAGCGAGAAGTACCTGAGCTCCTCCATTTGGCTCGCACTTCATATAATCGCGTATGTGTTGCATTGTCTCTTTGCACCAGCGGCTAAATTATAAAAGAGTTAGTTTAGACACTAGGTTAGCTGAAAAGATTGCTGGAGAACACTTGATGGTTTCCGTATCGTTTCCACTGAGATAAGGCTCGATAAGACCAGCAGCGATGTCCGAAGTGAGATGAGGCGAGAACTTCTCTGCCATAACCACCACCTTAAATTTCAAGTCGTTAGACTCTCTGAGAATATCCTTGAAAGTTAATAATTGGTAGACCTGATTAGAAATTTTTCTTGCAAAAAAGTCGTGAAAAACTGAAAAACTCCAATAAAATTATTCATCACTATTTGCTACAACACCTTTCCAAACTCTCTGAAAAGCTGGCCGTGCCACCACGACAGGGCTATTCTGATTTCGAATTGATGAACTCATTGACTCACTTTACTGTGAGATAACCTGTGAATTGATACGACAAAACGGTAATCACAAGAGGATGTGTCCGATAACTACAACGGGAATGACTGGATTCCCCACCCGAACGGTGAAAGAGTTTCTTCGGCGGTCTCGTATAAGAAGCGCGGCGAGCCGGCCGCCGCGTGTGCCTAAAGGACTTGTGGGACGATTTTTTCGCAAAAGAACGTTTTGCGTTTGCATCTGCAAAAGTTGAAATACTTCTTACAGAGAAAGCAATTTGGAAATAATGAATTGCCTTACTATTTTTCCCCTTTCACATTCTTATGAGATTGCGCCCTTTTAAAGGAAGAAGTGCGCAGTT